TGGACAGAACGCATGGAGCATTACTTGAGGCCTGAAAAGAAAACAGGAGCAGTAGATTGGGAAAGAAGACCAGAATTTGAAATACCACCAAACCATATCCCCTGACCCTCAACTCATGGCCTGAACTCAACACACCAAAAATGAGCACCGGTGTGCAGACAAGAGAGCTCCCGGAGATGCCTTCTAGTTCTGGCTCCAACACTCGAAAGGGGAGTCCTAATGCTCAGAGACAGTGTGGAGACCCTCTGTTTTTCCTTCCTCTTTTCTTTTCCTCCTCCCTCCTTTTTTCCCTTCCCTCCCTTCTTCTATGCTCTAGCCTTCAGCAATCTTGCCGTTGTCAGTCACATAAGCCTTCAGGAGCCAAAACTATGAGAGAGGGGAACCTTCCTCTGTATGCAATGGTGCCTCCATTCCCAAAGGCTGGAACCAACCTCCATTGGTTTTCTTTCTCTCTTTGGCCAATATGTATGTAGGCAAAGTCATAGACCTGTATAGCAGAGGGAGCTTTTTGGCCCAGAGACTGAAAAGTGTTCCCAGGAGACCAAAAAGTAGCAGGGAGATCATGAAGAGGAAGGAACTTGGCAAAGCAACCCCATAAAGGTGTTTGTTGGTTGTTGTTTTTTTAAAAATATCCTCACCCGAGGATATGTTTATTGATTTTAGAGAGAGAGGACGGGAGAGAGAGAAACATCAATCAGTTGCTTCCCATACACAACTGACCGGAGATGGAACCCACAACCTAGGTATGTGCTCTGATTAGGAATTGAATCCACCACTTTTTGGTGCATGGGACAACACTCCAATTAACTGAACCACCGGTGGGGTTTTGTTGTTGTTGTTGTTTTATATATAAACTAGAGGCCCAGTGCACAAAAATTTGTGCACTCGGGGGGCGGGGGAGGGGGGGTCCCCCAGCCCGGCCTGTGCTCTCTCGCAGTCTGGGACCCCTTGGGAGATAACGACCTGCTGGCTTAGGCCTGCTCCCGGGTGGCAGAGGGCAGGCCCAATCCCTAGGTGCAGCCCCTGGTCAGGCTCAGAGCAGGGCCGATTGGGGAGTTGGGGCGCCGCCCC